AGAGGCTTGAAAGAGGGAAGAGGCTAGAGACTTGCTTTTCTTTCTAAATGAAAGCTGAAAACCCAGAGAATCTGCTAAACTTATTTGTTACAACTTGTTCCAGTGCTCTGGCGGCACAGCTATATTTTAATTCCATTTTCAAAAGGGGGTTGCTGTGATGCCACCGATGATACCACAGATGATGACTCCCTTGAAAATCCTCCCTATTGAAGGCAACTGTGAAAGAAAATAGACTCCACAAGTGTGAAAATGCAGAGGGAGTGCGGATTAGCGGAAGAGTCGTGCCTAAACCAATTCTAATACTTGTAGACTGATTACCAAGGGAATCAGAAGTAAGTCGAGCATAAGGAAAAGCCCAAGGAAAACCGTGCGGGTGATAGCTGACTTACTTTTAAAACCTTCGCTGATTCATCCAAGAAATCCCGAATGCACTCATTTTCAGGACTGAATTGGTTAAGCTGTTGAATCACTATTTTAATATGTTTTAACGGGCCAGCCATCTTAACTTTGCAGAGTCCTGTAAGTCATTAAACTGCAAGTGAAAAAAAATATAAACATTATGTATATAAATGTAACAGCCTTTTTGTTTCAGTGGCTTAACGTAACTACTGTTCCAGATAGAAATACATGACTAACAAGGACACAAAAGCTTATACCCAGAATGAAACTTTGTTGGTCTTACAGGCGCCGCTGGACTCTGTCTTTGTTCAGGGACCTGAAGAAGGTTGCATGCACACGAAAGCTTATACCCAGAATTAAACTTGGTTGGTCTTCAAGGTGCCACTTGGACTCCGTCTTTGTTTGGGTACCTGAAGTGTGCATGCACACAAAAGCTTATACCCAGAATGAAACTTTGTTGGTCTTACAGGTGCTACTGGACTCCGCCTTTGTTCAGGTACCTGAAGAAGTGTGCATGCACACAAAAGCTTATACCCAGAATGAAACTTGGTTTGTCTTCAAGGTGCCCCTGGACTCAGCCTTTGCTCAGGTATCTGAGGAAGTGTGCATGTATGCACACAAAAGCTTATGCCCAGAATGAAACCTGGTTGGTCTTAAGGGTGCCACTGGACTCAGCCTTTGTTCAGGGACTTGAAGCAATGTGCATGGCACACAAAAGCTTATGCCCAGAATGAAACCTGGTTGGTCTTAAGGGTGCCACTGGACTTCACTTTTGTTCAAGTATCTGAAGGAGTGTGCGGTCTTAAGGGTGCCACTGGACTCTGTCTTTGTTCGGGTACCTGAAGGAGTGTGCATGCACACAAAAGCTTATACCCAGAACGAAACGTGGTTTGTCTTCAAGGTGCCCCTGGACTCAGCCTTTGCTCAGGTATCTGAGGAAGTGTGCATGTATGCACACGAAAGCCTATACCCAGAATGAAACCTGGTTGGTCTTACAGGGGCCACTGGACTCCGCCTTTGTTCAGGTACCTGAAGGGGTGTGCATGCACACAAAAGCTTATACCCAGAATGAAACCTGGTTGGTCTTACAGGGGCCACTGGACTCCGCCTTTGTTCAGGTACCTGAAGGGGTGTGCATGCACACAAAAGCTTATACCCAGAATGAAACTTGGTTTGTCTTCAAGGTGCCCCTGGACTCATCCTTCGTGCAGGAGGTATCTGAAGGCGGTTGCACGCACACGAAAAGGCTATACCCGGAACCAGGTCGGTCTCCCAAGGTGCCAAACTTTGTCGGGCTCGCTACGCAAGCGCCCCGCGCAGCAGCGACGCGTCCCACGGTTCTACTGCCGCGCTGGTCACTCACGAGAGGTGTCAACTGCAAAGCGCCGCCGGCACGACGGGCCGCGAGCGGGGGGCCATGAGGCTGATCAGTGTCCCCCCCCCGGCTCCTTCCCACCAGCCCCGCGACAAAGCGCCAGCAGCGGCTTCTCTCCCCCTCCCCTCGCTTCTGAGGCGAGCAGCAGCCGCCGCCGGCCGGGCGCCCGAGGACCGACCGCCTCAAGCGAGACAAGATGGCGGCGCCCGTTGACTCCTCGTTGCCTAGCGACCGCGGCGGGCCCAGGCGCGGCCTCCACAGCCACGCCGCCAGCCCGAGCCGGGAGGCGGCGTGGCGGGCTGATTGGCTGAAGGCCGGCCCCAGCCCCCCCCCCCCCCCCCCCCCCATGGGCGCAAGAAGATCCGAGCTGGGCTGCTGCAAGGGAGGAAGATAAGAATGTGGGAAAGAAGAGCCGTGCGGGGATCAGACTTGACAGCCCATCCGGTCCAGCACACTGTCGCTCACACAGTTATTAATAGAGATAAATCAGGGCTCTTTTTGTAGAAAAAGCCCAGCAGGAACTCATTAGCATAATAGGCCACACCCAATAGCAGAAACTCATTGACATATTAGACCACACCCCTGACAGCACCACTCATTAGCATATTAGGCCGCACCCCCATGTTACCAGAAGTGTGGTCATCCAACCACACTCACCTTTCCCTTCTTATTCTGTTTACCTTGTTTGTTGTCAAAACGGCCAAGGCCTTTTTTGTAGCAGGAACTCCTTTGCATGTTAGGCCACACACCCCTAACTGTAGCCAATCCTAATGAGTTTCTGCTGTTGGGTGTGACCTATTATGCTAATGAGTTCCTGCTGGGTGTGGGCAACTCAGGAGCCAGCCGGAACTCTGTTCCTGTGTGTTCCTGCCCAAAAATAGCCCTGGAGATAATTAAGATCTGGTTACTTCCCACAATAAGGAAAAAAACCACCTTTGGACATTTATCTGCTACGGTGACATGTTCATCACTTTGCAGCTGCGGACCTTAGAACCTTAACTTGTTATTTAGTTTTTCACTTTGCATAACTTCAGCATCCTCATGTTACATGTTAATGTGCTGTTAAATCCCTCTGAGAAATGCGGACAATAAATAAGGTAAGTAAATAAAACATTCAGGTGGGTAGCTATATTGGTCTACGCAGGTTCATTTCCTGTGGGAGCGCACAGGAGCGGAACTCCGGCAGTAAAGCACACAGGGGGCGGGCACATGCAACAAGCCCCACCCCCTGCTCCCAGCAGCCCTCAGTCAGGCCACAAGGAGCAAGAAGCAGCCAGGTAAGTTGCCGAGCCCCCCCCCCAGCCCGCCTACAGGTACAAGCTCTCCCTCCTCTGTAACGGCAGATCTGTGTGTTCCCCCCCCCATAGCTAGCAATCCAAAACAGTCCAGTGGCACATTTAAGACCAAGTTTTATTCAGGTACAAGCTCTCCCTCCTTTGCAAGGACAGATCTGCAGGGTCCCCCCCCCATAGCTAGCAATCCAAAACAGTCCAGTGGAGCCTGAGCGGTGGGTGTTGTCTTCTGACACACTTCCGGTGATGTCAGGGGGTGTGGCATATGCAAATGAGCTGTGCTAATAAGTTATGCTAATGAGCTCCTGCATCTCTTTTTGTAGGAAATGACCCCTGGGTCTGAAGCAGCAAAATGAAGGTTGAGTCCAGTGGCACCTTTAAAACCAACAAAGTTTTATTCAAGGGTATAAGCTTTCACCTTGTCAAGCTCTGCTCCGCTTAGTTTGTCATGGCTGTAGAGGGGGAGTAGGAATTCCTGAGGGAGGGGGAGTAAATGCTGAGTGTGTGAATCGGGCTATCTTGGAGACTGTAACTTTCCTGAAGAAGCCTTCCTCCCGAGGAATGTCCTTGAAGCTTTTGGTGCCAGCTTGCTAGAATGGATAGTGGGAGCGTATATTTCCCAGAGGCAGTGGGTGGGCCACGCAACGGCTAGGCGGGATGTGCGCACTGTATGATTAGTGACTCATGTTAAGGGGGCCTTGTTTGAATTACCTATAACTTTACCTGTACCCGCCAAAACTCTCAGTTCTGACACAGTACTGTTCTGGTGGTCTGGATCATGTCTGTTTCTCAATAAACAAATCACTGCCAAAGAGAGTGTTGTTGAGAGTAACTCGTCCAGGAGCCTAACACATGTGCAGGCACACTTCTTCAGATGGCCATACATGTTTTCGTAAGCCATATCACAAAAAAAAAGCTGTGGTGGCTGAAGTGGTTAAGACGCTGAACTGCAGGCTGTGGAAGGTCGGTACAGCAGTTCAAGACCCGAGTTGCCGCATGACGGAGTGAGCTCCTGTCTCTAGTTCCAGCTCCTGCCAACCTAGCAGTTTGAAAGCAAGAAATTGCAAGTCGATAAATAGGTACCACTTTGGTGGGAAGGTAACAGCGTTCTGTGCGCCTTGGCGTTTAGGCATGCCGGCCACATGACCACGGAAACGTCTTCGG